CTCGATTTGTTCCGATAAGGATATCTTCTGCTGTCTTTGAATCATCGCTTTGCTAATGGTTGCCGCTTAGATGTTAATTGAAACTTGGATATTTTGAAATTTGCATATAAACAACGTTCTTGAGTACCCTAGTCAACAAATTCTGCGACTGGTAAATGCCTCGCCATTAATTCAAACAAAACTAAGGTGGTTTTATTTACTAAGATCCCGAAAACACTACTGCCGCGGATGGGAAGCATTTGTCTGTAACCTGCAGATACATTGAAGTAACGCGTGGCGCAAAAATAACCTTCCGATGTTTTTTAGGAAAATGAAAAACTTTTTAAAAAAAATGAAAAACTTTGATTCTGCTTGCGGATTGTTTTATTTGGTCTTTTAAATTTTTTCACATCAAGCCACAGTTGGTTGTCATTTGAGCCCATTTTATGACATTTTCCAACACTTTGCAGAACTTCCGGCGATAGGTCCTCACATTCTTGACGGATATTGTCTTTAAGAGCTGCAAGAATCTGAGGCTTGTTGAAATCAAATCAGGCAATCTTTTTGGCCAGTGCAAATCGAAAAACTTTAGCTGCAGAAGCTGTATGTCAGAAGACGATGTGGAAGTATATCAACACTTCCAATGTCACTGAGATAAAGAAGAAGATAAAGGAGCCGGTAGTGACGAGAATATTGCTGCCGCTAGTGAATCAATTGAGAAAGTCTCAAATCAGTCTCTCACAGGTGGTTCTCAAGCGTTGGGCATCTCTGTGACGTCGTTGTGAAAAATTTTGCGAAAAATATGCGATCACATCCTTACAAGATCAAATTGACGCAAGAACTGAAGTCGCTTGACCACCTGAATCGTCGTATGTTCATGAATTGGACTAGGCAGAAACTTGAAAATTACCCGAATTTTCATCGAAAAGTCATCTTCAGCGATGAGTCTCCTTTCTGGCTGAATGGCTTCGTTAATAAGCAAAAAATGCGTTATTGGCAGGCAGCAATCCACAAGTACTTCCTGAGCCACCATTGCATTGCGATACAAAATTACGGTTTGGTACGGTTTATGGGCCGGCGGCGTTATTAGACCGTACTTCTAGTGATGATCAAGACCGGCATGTTACTGTGATTGGTAATCGCTACCGCTCAATGATAACCGATTATTTTTGACCCGTATTGGATGCTATAGACCTGGTTCCAACAGGACGGCGGCAAAAGCCACACAGCGAATATCACAAATTATTTATTGAAAACCAAATTTGGTGAACGTGTTATCTCACAAAATAACCCAGTCCCAGTTGGACGCCTCGGTTGTGCGACTTGACGCAGTTAGGACTATTTCCTGTGGGGCTATGTCAAGTCTGTGGTCTATGCCAACAAGCCAGCGACGATTGATGAACTTCGTACGAATATCGTACGTGAAATTGCAGCAGTATCAACCGATTTATGCTTGAAACCCGTAGGAAATTGGGTTCGACGCCTGACCTTCTGCAAGCGTGCCGATGGTGGCCATGCAAAAGAAGTCGAGTTCCATACATAATAACATCGAACGTAATTTTACAGGAATAAAGAATTTCAGTGACATCTTGAACCGTTTTATAAAAAAAAAAAAACACGTTCTCTTATTGAAAACCTCATTATTTTCATGCCATTCACAAAAGGCTGCTTATAGCCAAGTGCGATCTCTGGATCAAACATCAAACCTAATCTATCCCAGCAAAGCCACGTCCGCAAACCAAAGCAAAAGCTAAGATCAAAATATATTTTTTTAATGTTAAATAAAAATTTCGAAGTAATAGTTTTCATTTACCCAATCAGCCTGATCTCTTCATATTTGCTACTCAACCGCTTTGCGACCATAACTAACAACTTTAGAATCCTTAAACAAAATTTTAAGTTTTTAAAAATCAATTGACAAACAAACCGCAAAATGCAAATGACATTGACAGACAGTTGCGTATAAATAACCAATTAGCATTAAGCAAAGAACACATCAAACGCTTACAAAAATGTAAATAACATCGTTAGGATGCACACGAACAAGTGTGGCAACAATAAAGCGGAGACACAACCAATAATAAGAGAAATATTGTGTATGCAACGAAGCGTAAAAATTAAGCCACTCGACAAAACTATCGCCAGAGAGACAGTGGAGAACGCCAACGCAGGCTGACAAGCAAGACGAGTAATACTTACACAGCAGCAACAGAGTCTACGGAACCAATAAAGAAGCAAATAGAAAATATATTAACACAATACTTCGAAATGCAGACAGTCTGCTGACAAGGCCACCAGACAAAATGAAATCAAAAGGAAACAAAACAAATGAGGAGAGCTACACCATAACACATAACGGTTGTTACAGCTTCCGTTACCCACCCCATTGGCGCAATTGTGGAGTCGGCAGCCGGGCACGAAAGCATTTTAATCTATTTACGCCAGACGAAGCGACACGCTCATAACTGTTACTTTCGCAGCTAGACACAGCTAACAACTCGTTTATGCCCGTTGACACTTTTCGAATATCGCAAACCTACAGAACTTTTTCCTTCACTTTAAGCCGACCTACGCTGAGTCACATTTCGGCTTTGGGACTGTCAGTTAATGGAGCGCTCGCCAAAGCTTTCCTTCGTTGGCACTTTAAGTGTTTGCGCCTTTCGGCCAGCCGACGTGGCAAATATGAGGCGCAATATTTTGGGTCAACAAGTTTCGAAGGGTGCCCGACGCTAGCATTTGACCACATACTTCATCATCATTTTATTTATTTTCACTTATTTTTCATATTCTGCTGTAATAAATATAATCAAATTATACATTTTTCGCAATGGAATGCGGCTTGCAGATTGAATGCTGGCATTTTTGAGGGAAATTATGGCGCTGCTGTGTTACTGCTGCAATGCATACATGAATACATTCGCTTCAGTTTGACTTGGCTTCATGGATTTTTGTAGCTGAAAGGCATTCAAACACTTGCCATCATAATTCGTTCGCCTCCCACATTTTGATTTGCTATTTATAGCCCCGGCTAAGGGCACAACGCACGAGCACTGCGCCATAGTGCCTCACATAGCGCACGCAGCAAGCGGCAGCAACGCTTTCATGGGCGATTGCGTGGCTTATTTCATTCAGCGCCCACGGTGGCGTATACGTGATATAATATGAGAAAGATGACTGAGCGCGCATATTCACGGCATTTACATATAATATAGCTGTGCCAGAAGCCCATAAATGAGTTTTTTGAATGCATATTACGTAAGCCGGCGAAATCTCAGCGCAAAAAAGTGCCAATGAAAATATTTTTCTTGTTAAGTGCGCGCGAAATGTAAAGTGGATCGTTTTTTGCAATTCCTCTCATTTCCTATTTCACTTGTTTTTGTTTTAGTTTATAGTAGAAGAAATCATTTTTTAGTAATGTTGAGCATATGCAAGTAGATGTTGAAGGTGGAATTTCAAAATTGAATCGGTAATTGAAGGCAAAGGGTTATAAGAGATTTATTTTATCGCCTTCACCATATGTAATACACTTATGCCAACGATTTTCCCAGTCCTCGAAACACTTTTCTTAAGCACTTTTTGGAATGAACTACAGCTCATTTAGCTAATTTTGTTTTATCTCTTCGATCGATTGAAAACGGGCAATTTCAATTTGGGGAACTAAAAAAAGTTACACGGAGCCAAATCTGGTGTGTACGGTGGTTGATCGATTGTATTCATTGCATTTTTCATTTTAAATTCGGTCACAATCGTAGCTCGATGCAAGGGTCCCTTATCATAATGAAAAATCGAAGAGTCGTTCTTTCACAATTCCGGCAGTTTTTGACGTATGTGCCCACGCAAACTCAATACGGCCAAATAATACTCCTTATTGACCGTCTGTCTCTTCACTAGAAATTGATGATGCACCAAACGACGAATATTGAAAAAAAAAATCAATAAGCATCACTTCGGATATTTTGGTTTCGGCTCGTTTTTTCCCTCCATTCCAATGATTGTTTGACTCGTTTGCATGTGAGATCGGAATTCGCACGGTCAAGCATGTCCAAAAACATTTTTGAAGAAAAATCCATCTTTATCGGGACGAGTCGAGCAAGACCCCGTTTCATACCCAAAATATCCACAAAAATCATTCGAGCGGACTCGCGAGAGATGTCGAGCTCTCTTGCCATCTCTCTAACACATCTCGAAGTTCGTTTAGAACGAGTCATGTCTTCAACGAACCGTCAGCCGTTTTTAAAGCGTTTCTAATGGCCTAACACGTATCTGACGCTTTTCAGGTACCATATCCTTTTTTTTATATTTTCATAATTTTCATCAGTTGAGAAAGTTGAATTTCGTTCAGGACGAGGCATGTCTTCAACGAAAGCTCAACCGCTTTTAAAGCTTTCCTACCTCTCGTAGGTTTGTGGTTATTGATAAAACTGAATCACTGTAAGGCTTTTTCAACAATCGCAACGTACACGAAATTTAATAAGAAATACAAAGTTTTAGACAAAATTTTTCTTCGATATTTTTGCCCTTATTATACAACTGGAGGATGCACTACTAAAGCTACCAACATTTAAACTGCGCGCGCAAACCGAATCGATTCAATTTTTCCACTAGATTGACAAAACGTCATTAAAAGTAAGGATGTAACAGTTAAAGTTCTGGAGTATTGGATCGACTCAACACATTTTGGTTAATCTTTTAAGTATGAAGCGTGGCAATGCTAGTCTCGTACAAATAAACCCGACTCTTCCAACAAAGTAGCGAATGCCGCTACAAACCTGAACCGAATCCGAAAAGAAAATTCTCTGAAGAATCATAATACGTAACCGAACTTTATTACAAGTGTAAAGAAAATTCGATTAAGCTTTGACATTCTTGTAGTGGCTCAATTGAAGTTTAGTTTGAAGGCCAGAATAAAGATTTGTTTTAAAATTTGTAAAAATGTTTTTTTCTTTGCTCAAAGGCAAACTTTATTAGATTGCATAGCTGAGGTCTAAGAAAATTTTAGAAGACATTATTAATAGACTCACCTTCAGATATATGTGGATATGTATATAAAATGCCTGGAAATGAAGAAAAAATATTGCATTAAAATTATAAAAATCTGGCTTAATTAAAATAGACTCACATAATGACATAAGAGGGAGATAGATTAGGGAACAACAGCACTACTTTAACTGCATTATTTTATTGTTTATTTAGTGTGTAATTCTTAACAAGAAAGTTGAGTTGGAACAAAGCGATCCGATAAGTGGTGAAATGAAATACGTCTAATAATAATAAATAATGCTGTTCCCACCGTAGCTTAATAGGTTTAACATGTCAGTTCATCAAGTCAAAATGCTAAAAGATCTTGAAAATCTCAAACATCAGTTTTCAAGCGGAGCTTATTTTCTTAGATGTAATACCACAATGCTATTTCGGATAACTTTGATAATAAAAACTCTTTATTGGTATATCTAATTATTTTAAGGAATCATAAGTAACTCCAGTTTGCAGCATTGGGAGGTCGTACTTCGAAATGGGTTTAGTTTTATTACTTCATCTCGGGGAGGCTGGGTAAGTGCTGTACATTGGGACACGTCGAAGTTCTCTCTTTCTTCAACTACATTTGTGTTTTACCCTGTTCTGGCGAGAGATATCGCTGTTAAAGAGGCAAAGTGATCTTTTCCATAAAAGGGTCGAAGCAAAGAGGAACGGTTTGGAAGTGTAATTCTCTGTAAGAAAGTCTCTGTCAATATTAGGATACGAGATCACTGTAGTGATTTACTTTCAGAAGTAGACAAGGAGTGTCCGTCCCCACTAATAGGAGCATTATTACCTCATCCTCAGACTAATATGGGTGACTGATACAGCGGAATGGCTGGTAACTGCAAAGCTCTAAATTACTTTCACTATATAAATACCAGGTTGGACAAATAAGCAAAACAAATGGGTCTGGTAGTAAACGAAGGAAAGACGAAATATCTCGTATCAATAAATAAATAGTCGTGTCACTGTTGATAGACATAACTTCGAAGTCGTGGATAAGAAGCTTCGAAATTTAACGCAAACTAACTCCTCTCTAAGTCCTCTCTCGACGAACAAAGACCAAATTCTACAAGTCACACATGATTCCCATTTCGCTATATCTTGCAGAGACATGGACGATGACAACATATGATGAGTCGGCATTACGAGTTTTCAAGTGTTGGGTTCTAGGGAAGATTTATGTTCCTTTGGTCACTGGCAAAGGCGAATACCGCTGTCGATGGAACGATGACCTATACCAGATATACGACGACACTGAGGCTATTTTTGACTGTCCATTTCAACTGTTCAAACCGAACGCACAACCCTGTGGAGGGGAAGTTTCGCCTTCTTACTTTAGCTCAACTTCAAACAGAGGTCCTTTGGTTGCAAGGAAGATACTTGGTCAAAGACCGGAAGTCGCGAGCTGCTTGAGCCATATGTAAAATAATCGTTTCTGGGCACTCCCAAGTGAATGGCGATCAGAGAACTTTCCTCACTTGCGTGAACTTTTACACATGACTCGGCGAATTAAGAGACAGCGGCTACGTTGGTTACGCTGACTAGCTCATGTCGTCCGAATGGATAGAAACACTTCAGCTCTGAAAGTATTCGACGCAATACCTGACAAGGGAAGCAGAGGAAGGAGCAGACCACCACTCTGTTGGAAGGACCAAGCAACGCTTGGAATCTCCAGTAGCCACCAAACTGTGAAAAGGAAGAACGATTGGCGCGCTGCTGCAAGCTCGGCTGGAACCACGTCAGCGGGGTCTATGCCAGTAAAAAAAAAAACACGATATAAGTATATTTAATTATCAAAGAGTTTCTGGAACTATAAATATGTGAGAAACTGAAATAGACTAAGCTACCCTCTTACTGTATAAGTAATTAAGAATTCAATTTAGTTGTTGCCTTCATTTTTCTATTTACAATTTGCATTTTTCCCGGAATTATTTTTTTATTTCGAATTGAATTAAATGTCTTTCTTAATGAAACAATTTACTTTAAGCTTAATTACACGACAGACTGCATTAGGAGAAGACTCAAGGGAAGGGGCAGCCATAACTTAACTAGCGTTTAATTGGCAACGCTGCACTTAAAATAAATGCCGGAAAATGGAGCAATGCTCGAAAGGAAAGTACCAACAAAACAAATACGGGGACGCGCCTTGAAGAATTATGCTCAAGTGTAGTCATGAGAAATTATGGCATCGAATTCAGCACATGCCAAAAGTCAGCAGATCATAATCACTAGTCGGCAACGCGACGCGACCAGCAGATGTAGAAAAATTTAGATTGAATTGGGTGTCAGGCAGATGAACAGATGGAGGGAAGTCGCTAAAAGGCACGAGAGACAAAAGAGCTCGTATATGCAGCCAACGATTAGAGCATGCAGCTGGGCGCGTGACGGGTGGAACAAGTCGTCGAGAAGCGGGTGACAAATGTTAGTTTAACAATGAGTCGTCTTAAACTCGACACTCACACGTACAAAGTACACACACACAGACACGCGTATGCGTACAAACTTAAGTTATCGCCGGCATAAGCTGGTTCATGAAAAATTTACGCACCGAACGCGCAAATGCACTTCAGTCCATAGTCGGACGGACGGACCGGCAGATTACCAGCGTACAATGCAACAGCTGGGTCAGCACACTTGACGAGGAGGATGGGCGGCGACGGAGCATGCGTTGAGCAGCTTGAAATGCTGGAAATTAATATATAAAGTTTGTCAACTGCAGCAACGTGCTGAGAGAATGTCGGCGGAATTCGCAATGGACTTGGAATGTGAAAAAATAATTTATTGAATTAAGTAGGAGCCAAGACAAAAGCAAGCACATAGCTGACCAGCAGTGCACAAATGGAGTGTGAAAGGTTTTAAGCTTCTGAAGTGTGATCATTTCATTTTTTCACCATGGAGACGGAATGTATCCAATTAAGTTTCGAAAGTTAGGGAACAGTTTCGGTAAGCTTGTATGTGTTATTTCGACAAAAACGCAAAGCACAAATTGAATTTTGTGGTTTGATAAGTTTTTTATGCGAAAAGTTGCCAAAATTATACAGATCTGTCCAAGCAAAGACAATACGATGTCATGATCTCTTTCGCGAGAAAGTTGTTTTTAAAACTGTATATGACTAAATCAACTGCGCTACAGCCGCTGGAAAGAATAATATCATACTGTAACGACTTCGAACAAGTCTAGTACTCTCCAATTAAAATCATCCAAGTAGATTTGTGGAACCTTAGTAGAATTAATGACGAAAAAATATTTCAGTGTACTTGAAAACAACATATATCTAGTGGACCCATCAAGAAAATACTTAATGAAGATCATAATTTTCATAGGTCGGTTTCTATGGCAGGCCTTCTATCGATTTCAGCTTCAGACTTTCTGACTATTAAAGTTTTTTCCAATTCGAAATTGCTGGAATTAATGAAGAAGAGACGTGACTATCCTCTCTGAAAGCAGCGCGGTAATAGTAGCCTTGAGCACACTTGCCGTGCATTCAAAACTAGTGAAGGAATACCTCACTCCTTAGCAATGGAATCGAGTCGGTGTGTAATAAGACTAGGCCGTAGCGGAATCGCATGTAAAGCTGACAAGCAAAGGGGCCCAATCCCCGCTATTAGTAGAATGGGAACGGGTARGGGCTCCCCTCTGTTCAACCAGTAGAGCTGGACTTTGCGGGAGCTTGACCTGTGCTGGACCACAACCATTTTCTGCGCTTTTACAATATTCTTTTGATTCAAGAGCGATCGTAAGAGATCCAATGAGTTCATTACGTCCATACTGTAAGGTTGCGAACTTATCGGGCGCCAGCTGCAATGTATTGCAATTGTTGTATGAAGGAAGACGAGCGGAAAAATCCCAACACTCTCTTCTTGCTGGGTCCGCCTTAATGAGATTGTGCATTTTGACCCATTATCCGGTAAGATCTTTGCGTCCGTGCTGTGAGGTTGGGCATCGTACCGGGAGCCAGCTGCAAAGATGAGGTGGATAGACAAGAGGTGTATGAAAGAAGACGATGTGGAAACCTATCAACATTTCCTTCTTTATTGTATCGCGTTTGCAAGATCAAAGCTTAAACTCTTTGGAGCTCAGATTTTCTGGACTGGCTTGTGAGAGTTCAAGTGCGATCTGCGATTCAGTCAACGCACCTAACCTAATTTATGTTTGACTCATCAGTTTGTATGGCTGTGATATCCTGGTCCGACATCGACGTATTTGAGAGAAAATGGCGCATGCAAAATTTCAGATCCATATCTCGAAAACTGAGGGACTCAGGGGGTTCATGGATACACAGATAGACCGATGACCTAATCGGCTCAGCTTGTCACGCTGCTCTTTTATACACATATTTCCTTCCTTGCTGTTACTAAAGTTAAAAACTTCGGCAATTGCAAGCAAAAGCAAGCAGAAAAGTTCCAGTTTAGCAGAAGAAACAAAGTATTTTTGGTTAAGCTATTTTCTTGTATATATGTGTATTTGTGCTTGTGTGTGTGGGTTAAGAGCTATAACTCTTATACTTAGCATGAGAAACCAGAAAGAGCCAACACTTTTCCTGTTTACCTGCTTTACCTTTTTTAGGTTCTTTTTTCCTTTTTTAAATTGCTCGTATTCCTCGTTTGAGGGCCCAACGAACCAACCAAGCAGGCAAATATCGGCGTAAACATATCGTGAAAACAGGCAATTTTCCATACGTCAACAATTTGTTCACCGTCAAAGGCAACAAACTTTCTTCTTTACTCGCTATTAGAAATTTAAATTGGCCATACGTTACAGCGAATGCGCAACGGTAAACGTGCATGGGTAAACGTAATCATGTGTAGGCGCACAGGTCATGAGGCACACAGTTCTCTTTTTTTTCTTTTCTTTTAATTTCCTTTACTTTTTCCCATCTGCATCATGTGAGCGGCAGGAACAACAACAAATAAAAGCGGAACGCAAAGAAAAATGTGAAAACACTATTTGCTAAGAAATTTCAAAGAATTCCAAGCTCAGTTTGTATTGGAGGAGCATTCAATGGATCCGCAAGCACCAGACTGGCACAGT